TTCATCCATTACATCCAAATGTTAATATTTCACCACATTTGCTGTGTCACGTCATGATTTTCCCACCACATTTGCTGTGTCACGTCATGATTTTCCCTGCCTCTGTGTTTCTTTTTCTGTCTCTTCCACCCTTTCTCTCTATACAGGTGCATGCATATATTTTTTCTTAATTATTTGAGAGTAAGTTGCAAATGTGATGACCCTTTATTCCTTATAATTTATTATGTATTTTCAAAAACACAGACACCCACTTATATAATCACATTACAGTTAGCAAAATCAGTAAACTAAAACTATAAACTTTATTTACATTTTGCTAATTATTCCATCACCATCTGTCATAGTAAAAAAAAATAAAGATAAGATATACACAAAACGTGGCCCAGGATTCAATCTAGAATTGCACTTTACGTTCAGTTGTCATGTAGTGAGATAATTTTCATGATATTTATTAGCTGTCTTGATGGTCATGATAGTCAATGTCTTATACAATGTCTATGTCTTTGATTCTTTATTTTGTTCTTTCTCCTTTTTTGGGCTGATAAAATCTTGTCTCTGTAACTTTTTTTTTCCTAATTTTACTATCACTCTCTTCAAACGGCTTATACTCACATTATAATAACTATTTTGTGCAGTAGGATTTCATAATGATTGCTTCCTACATGGCAATATCATTTAATGTGAGAGAACAGAAAAACAAAAAAAAAATCAAGTATCTGCAGTATTTTAAACCTCAAATGGGATGATATTGTCTTAAATACTATTTCAATATTAACTCATCATTTTCACGAATGCTTTTTTAAATTAATCCAACTAAATTTAATCTACTCTTTATTAACTTATTTTCAGTGATTTAAAACAATTGCTTATCTATCTGTCTCCATGGCAAAAGTTTTAGCGTACTTGACGTGTTTTTATCAGCCCTGGCTAGTATAGCTCAGTGGACTGAGTGAAGGTTGCAAACTAAAGTATTGTCGGTTTGATTCCCAGTCAGGGCAAAGTATTTGAGAGGCAATCACACATTGATGTTTCTTATCCTCTCTTTCTCCCTCCCTTCCTCTCTCTCTATAAACAAATAAATAAAATCTATAAAAGATTGTTTTTATTAAATCATCTCTTAGCCTTTATCTATACTGAATACAACAGAGTTCAGATCTTCGTTTGCTGTGTATGAAAATATTTTATTTTACTGATGTGATTTTTTGCCTTAATATATTAATCTCTAGAAATAATATGTGACTATCATTTAACAATTCAAGAATTTAATTTGAAAAAGACAGTCAACAGCTTTCAACTTGAGACAATAGTTTCATTCCCCTTTCCCATAATTCAGTAGCTGTTCCTCAGCTGCTACCAATGTCAACGAAACTGAGTCGGTGCAGTGGTCATCCATGGAGATATACAAACAATGAACTTCATCAGTTTTCCAAACGGAGATAACTTCAACATCAGAAATGCTGTATTGGACTAAGGCCACCTTAGAATTACTATCAGATTCTTTCTTGGCCTTCCTTCCTTACATTTGTAAAGATTAGAATGGCAATATTCCAAACACAATAGTAGGCTCTTAACAATTATCAGTGCTTTCTCTCTCTCTTGTCTGCTATTCTTAAATTATACATTTGCATCTGCTAAAATTCGATATGATAATTTTAAATTTTCCAATCAGTAAACACTTTTTACCTGTGTATATATAGGCCAGCTCTGAGTGATGAATATTCATTTTGTACTGTGGCATATTAACATTAGAGCATAAATTTTGGCTCTGAACACATTACCTATGAGTGATTTCTCATCGCACTTAGTACTGCTGCTATTGGTTGTCAACACAGCCAAGTCCCCATTCCCTTCTTTCTTATTTGCAACCCTAAAATATTATCATGAAAGTTTTAAAAGAAACTGGAACTTATTTCACTAGTTTAGTTAGTGAAACTAAAATAAATGGGAATATTCAAACAGCACCTTCTATGTAATGGACTCTGCCAGGCTCTTCAGTAGATGAAAATCAGTCATTCACTATTTTGGTCCTTTATTATATTCTGTCCAAGGTACCAAGGCATTAGAAACCTTAATATAAATGATCGGGCTGCTATGATTTTATTAACCCATGCTGTTTATTGTGAGCGGGTTTTACTGAATCCTTGGAGTTTATAAATTATTGGGCTGCTATAATTTTATTAACCCATCGTTCTTATTGTAAGTGGGTTCTACTGAATCTGTGGAGTAATTGTTAGCAGGCTAATGAGGTATACCTAAAGTTGATGAGAAGTCTGAAATGGGAACTGTGTGTTTTACTAATAATACAGGTTGGAATTTTTTATTAGAGTCCAAATATAAGCCTGATTAAATGCCCTTTTGCCCGGCTTTTCTTGTAAGTGTTTTTGAAAGTATTGAATACACAGTTTGTGCATTAGCTACAGAACATATTCTATAATGCATGCCTTATTCTCCCTTCAAAAAACAAATTTTGTTGGTGCAAAAATTTTCATAATATCCCATTGTTGAAATGATAGTAAAGTAAATGGAAAACCATTAAAACAACAACAACAAAAAATCCTTTCAGGACTAGAACTCATGTTTAAAACGAAATACATCTTTAAGATATACAAATCAATTCAGTGGTAATTAAAGTTATTTACACCATTAGAAGAAGAGGTAGGCTTACCAGTAGCTATAATTTATTCATGGATAGACATATGATATTTTCTATTTAATAATTATTTATGGGTGGCTCTCAATTTATTTACATTTACGTTTATTTAATGTTTGCATTAATGAGGTTGCTCTAAGAATATCTATTCTAAGATTGTAATACCTATGAAATATCTATGTGTGAAATAGGTGGAAAACATGGTAACAGAGTCATCTACTAAAAATACATGGATCCGATGTTGGGTATATGTATGTGCCACTTGGAGAGTTTGCCTTTTTCAGACACACTTTGTTTGAAAATACATTTCTCCTGATAAACATGCAATTTAGGCATTGGTTAAGAGTTTGCCTAAGAAAATAAAATCATAATTCTTTCTTGATAATTACTAGGAAAATAAAAGTCAGCTAGTTTATCATGTGTATAATCACCTGGATATCCAGGGACACTGAATAATAGAGTCACCCTTCGGACTGCTCTCCATTGTATCTTCTCGGTGCACCTTGAATCATGGAAAAGAGGACTGTGAAAGGATGACGTAATTGTGGTTGCCGAACATCGCAAGAGTAACTGCCTCTTTTCGATTGATGATACTGGGTTTGCTCATGTCCCCATCAGCAGCACCGTATGCTTTTAGTCTTCGGGTACACTGCAAAGCAAAATGCGATTGTAATTACCACACAATAATTTTTCTAATTTACATTCATTCAGAATATTTACAGTTTATTAGCTGTGGCTGGCATCTTACTCACTCTGCACGACTGTAGCTATCTGGCTACCTCTTTGAAGATGGGTAGCATTCCTACTGCCAGAAAACCAAAATTATCAATGAGTTGCATTTTCACTGCTTATCTGATGAACTTTTAACAGTCTTACCACATTTGTTAGTCACATATTCCCTTACCATTGGCACCCTGTGGACACTCAGCTTCCACATAAAATGGACAATGGCTGGTGTCAAAAAAGGTCATGTTTGTTACTTCTGGGTCACTGAACTTCTCTGTCTCTGCCTTAGTTTCCATACCTATACAAGAGATAAAGTGATACTTGCACAAGGTTTGTAACAGTGAAAATTGAGATAATGGATGCAGTCATGTTAAAATTGTAAAACATAATATAAACAAAAGGTAATCTCCCAATCTTAACTTGAAAAATAAAGGAAGAAAATATTTGAATACAGTAAGAGAACTTGGAAAAGTTTCATCATGTTTTATTTGTAGGAAAGTTAGCCCCCATTCTTTGGGCGGAGGAGAGACAAAATCAGGAAATGACTGTTTATGAAAAGAGACAGAAAAAAAGTTTTAAAAAAATATTTGAAGCATTCAAGATGCATTTTCAGGCCTGGATGGTGATACCTCTAGGGTTTAACTGCTTAAATAGAGGTGGGATAGATACAAACTAGCTCAGCAACAGCACCTGGAGAAAGAGACTGTCACATCTAAAATAAGGAGAAAAGGCGAAATTAGAGCAGCTGTGGTTATGTATTTTCTAGTCTCTTTCTCTTCCACGTTTTCCCAATTTCTTCACAAATTGTTGTTAATTGATTGTGTTACCTTTTGAGTTGAAAAATACAGACCCCTCCCTGCACACGTCCCGTAGATAGGGATTGAGGAAGCAAGGAGGGATGGGAGAGAAATCAGAACTAAGTCAATACCCCAGTGATTGTACGCTAGAAGCGTGTTGCTGTACAACAATATCGCCCTGGAGCCTCTTTATTTGTTTATCAATGAACATCCTACAGCGTCCCCGAGATGTAGGTCAGGCTCATTGGAAACAGGAGTCGCCGATCACATGCAGCCTTCATTTGTTTCCAGACCGGGTGCGCTGCTGATACCCGCACAGTGGAGTGCGCCTGAGTCACAAGAGAGGAGACACCTGTGCCTTAGGGACGCAGGTGAAGTTCCATCTACCTCCCGGAGACTTTCCCTAGTGTTTTTCCACCCCCTCAGCCACTCACTGCTCATCCCCATCTTCCCTGCCGTCGTGGACCTGAGCTCCTCTGTTTAACTGGTGCTTTTCCCGCCCTCTCCCTGCTTGGCACCTCAGCTGAAGACCCAGGGCTCCAAACAACTGGGCATGCCTAATAACCAGGGAAGGCTTGAGCTGCAAGAAGAAAGCGTTTGCACCTTCTGTGCTCCCCTCCCCTCTGCAGCTGTCTCCTGCCAGTCAGGCTATCCGACGTGCAGCTCGGCCCAATGAAGACCCGCGGCCTTCGCGAAGGCCCCGCCTCTCATGGCACACCACCAATGAATGGTTGGCAGAGGTGGGACGTATTCTGTTCCCGCCTCTCCAGTTAAGGCTGCTTGTGTGAGCTGGGATCGGCGCTAGCGAGGGACGACGGAAGGGACGGGCAGGTGTGGGCTCTGGGCCGCGCAGCCGGACCGCGCGAGTCGCAGGTGCACGGTGTATGGGCCAGTGAGGACGCACGGAGATACCCTCGCCGCGGCGTAGGCGGAGCAGCGCGGGAGCCAGGCGCTGCCCCGCGACCCTGCGTCCGAGCGAGCGGAACCTTGCGCTTCGCCCGTGGACTGTCCGAAGTCCGCGCTATGGAAGAGGAGAAATACTTGCCTGAGCTGATGGCAGAGAAAGATAGCCTGGATCCATCTTTTGTGCATGCATCGCGCCTTTTGGCGGAAGGTAGGACTTATCTCCCGAGACGGGCACAGACCTCTGGCCGCCCATCTCACCCGCGGCTTGGTTAGGAGAGTGAAGTTGGGGAGGGACGCCTGTCTCCTTCGCAGAAACTGTCACCCTGAAGATGCTGGCTTCAGAGCTCCGGGCGGACGGAGCTCGTTTTCAGGGCGAGCAGCAATGCTCCTTCTCTACGTTTTAATTTGGGGAAGACTAAAGCTAGGAGATCGGAAGGCAGTGGTGATGTGACCTGTTAGGATGATTCGTAGGAAACCATAAAGTATAACGCGGTTTACAGGGATATTTCCACTTCGCAGAGGGAAGGGAAATCAGTTTGGAAGTAAATGGTGATCAGTGTAGTGTTCAAAGAGCTTCTTGCTACATATCAGCATTTTTTAAATCTTTTTTGCTGCATATGGGAATTGATGTTGATACTCTTTAGTCTAATTACAGCCTCCCCTATGAAAAGTCTTAGAATCACCCTAGATTAAACTATCACGTTCTTCTATATTTTTGAGTGTGGCAGAGGCTAAAGTGCTTATCAATTTATTTGAAGTGTGATAATTGGTTTACTCTGAGAGTTACTGGTCCCTGGGAACACTCTGCAATTGATCAGCTGTTTTACCAAGTGTGCATTTTCTGTTGTGTACTTGGAATTTAAAAGGAGACTTAATTCCCAGAACATGTATGTCTTGTCTTTTGCGTGGCTTTGAAAGGTTGTTTAAACACACACACAAACTTTATGACAGAAATATTAACCAAAATTATTCCACTTGCCTTAAAATAAAGCTAACTGCTAAAGATATGATATCTGTGGTAATCAACACATGCCTTTAAAAAAACTTCAGACTTTTCTGATGAGTGCTTCATTAATAATGAATTGTTACATCATTAAATGGACTATAATGCAATTTTGTAGCTGAGGTGGTAATGGACTTATCTGTAGTAAAACTAAAAGTGACAACTTCCTCTTTGTCAGCCCTTCAGAGTTAAGAGAAATGTTTTCTTTATGGAGACTTAGTTGTACATGGAAGGAAAAATTCAGATCTTCCATGTGTGATTCAAATATCACTAGGTTTATTTAAACATTTTTATTGATGGGTTATTATTTATAATAACAATAAAGTATACATTTTTCCCATTTTGCATGCTAAACAGTTAAAAGATTTATAATCAAAATATTGAATTTGTGAAACAACTAAACTGTTTTTCAAAAAACAAGTTAGTTTTGGAGAGGATTTGGGAAAGTAAAATGAAATTATGCTTACTACTTTCTTGGTTACTGATTTTAAAAAAATAGAAATTAAAGTTGAAAAGTAAAGCCAATTAAAAAAATAAATTCTCTAGTTTATTAAAAACAAAGGTAACTACATAAAATAATGAGTATTGAAAATTAATGAGTTATCAAGTGCTTAGGATTGTTCAAAATAATTAAAAATTCAACTAAGCCTTCAAAATTGTTTACTTCATTGTATTTTCCCAGAAGTGTCTTTATTTAGCTGGTAATGCCTTTAAAATGAAAAGAAATTACTAATTGGTCATTTTCTGTGACCTGCTCATTGGTGTTCTCTTTGGGACAGCAGGCTCAATGATTAATTCATCTTTCACTAATGAGAGTTAGTGTACTTTTGAAGACTGCCAAGCTAAAAAAATGCATGTGAGAAACTCTTAATAGAGTACAGAGTATTCTGTTGTTGATGAAACAGCAGTGTCTGCACCTGGTTCCTTAATATTTTATCTTTCCCAGGAACTTGATTTCTTGATACATAGCAACATGCTCAGATGTTCCTTGTAATTTGTTTTTTCCCCAGTAGGGGGAAGTATGTGCTGCTTTTGTAAAGCCTTAGGAGGAAAAAGCTCCTAAATAGAGAGAAAAGCATCTAAGTAAGAAACAAAGAGAGATGTCCAAATTTCAGAGAAAGCATAATAAGGAGAAGATAATGAAATAGGTGATTATAATAATCTTGAGTTTTATAAAGAGATGTGCAAAAGGTACTTAAGGTTTAAATTCTCTGATTGCACTTGAAGAAGCTCTTTATATGGGTTTATTAAAAAGTATAAGGTATGTGTGCTTTGGAATCTTTGATAAATATTAATGTACACTTTACATTATAGACATTTCATTATTTTTTAAACAGCTGTTTGCCAAGATTTCCAGGTTTTTGTTCGAATGTTTCTAGGAGAGTATTGTTGAGGTGATTTTATTTCTCATACCTGGAAGTGCACTGATTGAAGGCAGTGGCTATAAATAAACCTGACATAGATATTCATTTGGAAGGAAGATGCACACTGAAGTACATTTCAGTCAGTACTGTGCAGACAGTCTCAAGACTGAGTGAGTAATAAAAATGATCCAGATGATTCAGTTCTTCAGAATGATTTTTTCCAGAAGCTAACATCTATAAGGGGAGTGATATAAACCAATGAGCTTTCACAATGATTTATTTTGCTATTTTGATTGGTGATAGATACAAATTAGTGCTCATTGACTGTTTTGTTTAAAATTGAAGGCCCTGGGGTTTAAAGTAATAGTTTTTTAGTTATTTTGTCATTTTTAGTGGGGTTTGTTTTATTTCACTTGTTTCTACTGTTTTCAGTATGTGTGATTCTAAGAAAGCTAATGGACGAGCCCAACCATTTTATGTATTTGACTTTTAGTTAGAAAATATCTTGAATAATATTGTTTGATGACTGTTTGTAATATGTTTGATTAATCAAAATAATGATTTTCCTGTGATTATACTATTGTTATCTATTCATTGTGGATGGTGCTTTTGAATGTGATAAAACAGCAAACTCAGCATGAACCTAAAAGTTCCATTTAGCCTCTGAATTTGCTTGCCAGATGAAATTAGATGATGTTATTTATATCTCTGCTACTTCTGGGAAGTGCACTAAACTTGAATCCAGATACCTGGACTCTAATTCCACTTTTGCCTAAACTGAATCTTGATAAGCTTCCCTTCTCTGGGCCCAGTTTCCTTGTCTCTGAAATGAAGGAGTTAGACCAGATGATCTATATGTTTCTTTGTGATCCTAATTAAGTCCGGGACTACTGCTGATGCAAGGAATGGTGTTTGTGTATTCAGAATACCAAAATCAATGGTTGAACATTTTTGAAACTTTAAAAAACGTCTTCCTAGATTAATGATTAATAATACATTTATTATTCTATAGTATAATTTGTGGCATATACATTATTTTGGCCACTGGGGACAGATTTATGTTCTTAAGTCTATTGAACTATTATGAAGGCTTAGAGCTAAATATATATATATATATATATATATATATATATGCAGGGAAATTTCTTGTTTGCAGTCAGGCATGTCTGTCTGTTGACAGACATAGATCTGTTCAAGTTTATAGATTCAATTATGGTGATTCCATGTCTTTAGGAGGATTAATAAATTCTTGTCCAGTTGAGTCTGTTTTGGGTTGGCAAGACTTCCTAACCTACATTCTTCACAAATATTGGTAGGTTCATCATTGTTTTGGTTGACTCATCATATGATGAAGTCAAGGATTGCCAAATATCCCAACAGTTTAAATGTTAAGAAAAACACATCAAAAATTCTAGGTGCTATTTTTGAATTTAAGTGAAAAGCTTGGCCATTTATCTAGGATTGGCATCTCTGCTGCAGATATAGATGAGTTTTTAAAACCACACAAGAAATGGGGGAGTTAACATTACAAATAACTTATTTGTAGTGACTTAATTATATTTAGGTTCTTAATAAGGATCATTTTTTAAATTTAGATTGTCTTCCTTAAAATAGTTTCTGTAAAGCATGGTGAGTTCTTAAGTGAATGAAAGTTACTGGTATAGTGTCTAAAATCAGCTTCTGATAAAAAATAGTATTCATGAGGATTTTCCTTTGACTAATGTAATCTCTTTTATATTCCTCTCAATATATTTGGGTAATCTTATTCATGTTTCTTAAAGAAAAAACAAAAATGGCAGATAAACTAAATTCAAGGTTTAATTTCGATCTATAATTAAGATACATTTACAATATTATAGAAAATTTTGCATACGCAAACAAAACACTCAGCATAGATTGGCCACATTTCTGCCTGTTGTTCAATTTCCTCTGATTCTCAGTTTCTTCATCTGTAAAACAGGAAAAGTAAAATCTACCAGTTGTGATTATATTAAGGTTAAAAATGCTGTTTCTGACAACATAGGCAGTATTTTATAGAAATACAAATAGAATTTTTATTTATATATAAGAAAAACATAAGCAGAAATTATAGAAATACAAGATGATGCTTTCAAGATTTTTTTTTAACATTTTAATGGCATTGTGGACTCGACCTTAGCTTGCAGCTTGGTTTTGTAAGGAAATAAACACTGCCTTACTTTTGAATTACTGCTGAGTGAAATTTGAACTCATAAACCAAACTATGAAATAAATTATCTTATGAAAAAAATGTTTCTAGTGAGGGTTTTTAAAATAACTTGTTCCCTTAGTCACTGGGTATTTGTCGTTGTTTTACTTGAGCTTGATTAACTCTGGACCTGTGTCTTTAAGGGTAATTGTAAACCTCCTAGGCCTCTGCAGAAATCCATATGTCCTTCCCTCCGGGCAGCTGTTTTCTTGGGGGAGATGGATATATACTTTCTGATGCTCTTCAACTTCCTACCATCTAAAAACTTCCATACTCTTTCCTATTGTCTTTCATGCTCAGGAGATGAAATGTTTCTTTTTTGTTCAAGGCTAACTCGTTCACCCACCCATTTAAAAAAATGTTCCCGATCTTCTCCAGACTTTTTCTATAGTTGCATCTTTTCTTAGTATCTCCAACTTCTTCCTCCCTGTCCACTCTTGTAGCAGTCTGTAAACATGTTCCAATCTAAATAATTTAGAAAATAGAATTCTTGTTTCACTTGCCCAAAGTAATAAAAACCATCTTTCTTGACATTTATCCTCTCTCATTTCTTTCAACTTTTGGATCATATTAGTGTATACTAAGCTGCCTTGTTTCTCAATTTACCTCTTTAA